GGGGGGGGGGCGGGGGGGGGGGGGGGGGGGGGGGGGGGGGGGGGGAGGGGGGCATCGATTGTTCGGTTCAGCCTTGGAAGACTCGCGAAAAGGGAAATGCAGGTGTTGGGAGTCGATTGTGCCCGAGTCGATCCGCGTTTCGATAAGACTTCACTTAACTGCGGTTATCGAGTCTCGATCGGGCCGTACCGTTTGGTAAAGCGTGGAATTGCGTTTCACTTTCGTGGGCGCTTTTGCAGCTGGTTCATTCAACGTGTCGGCTTACTTATTGAGACGTGGATGTCAATAGGCAAAATATGATCAGTTTGCTTAGGGAGATGAGGATGTCAATAAGGAAGATATAATGAGCTTAGGAGCGTCTTTTTTTTCCTCGCGTGACGCGTATCTAATTCGGCGATCGTCTGACTACGGCTCATAATTCAAATTCAACTCGATTCACATGGAGAGAGGATTAGCATTAGCAATGGACTTTGGTGAAACTGATGAGACATCGGGTGTTTCGCTTTTATCAGACGATTGATAGATCTGCCGGTGGTCCCCCCCCCCCCCGCCGTTGAGGTGGCCACACGCGACCACCTTTTCTTTGTGAGCAATGCCCCAATAACTTGATCCGTATCGACAGGCATCAGCCGATATGTCACGGCTGATTTGTGGCGACCCTGGAGACGCGACATCGAGGGAGCCTATTCATCATCCTGTAGCTGATGAATTTACGATGTGCACGGCTGATGAAAACAGCTGATGCCATTTCGATTTTGCCCCCCTCAATTTTTGCACTTTCAGCTTCTGTCCATCACCAAATTCACTTGCACAAAATTATTTCCTGAACTGATATCTCTTCTAATTAAAGTTGGAATCATCAGACTGAGCCACTTGCAGATTTAACAAGATGGATTTCGCTCATGCATGAAAGTGAGCGCTTAAGAAAAGCAATTCAAATAAAATGTTATTCGACTTTAAAAAATATCGGATTTTCAATCACAATTATTTTGTATGTCCGCTTCATCCGGCGCTTTACTCATGACAATGGTATATATATATATATATGTATAAATATATATATATTTTAAAAATAATAATGTGTACTCGAAAAGTCAGTTTATCGTATAAAAGCATCATTGTATTGGTCGAAATTGTTGAATATTTCAAACGACATTTTTTTGGGGAAAAGAAGGCCCAATTCAAATTCTAGTAAAACAAAATTGATAATTTCAAGACTGAGAATGATGTAATTTTCTTTTTACCGTTTCATAAATATTTAACTTCGCACTCAGCCCGAGTTCGATCGATAGAAGCTACCTATATTGGATGTTTATAATAAATAACCTGTAACATATATTAAAATCGGCAGTTCAGCAGACCCCTCCGAGATTCCCGGTTTTCTGAAGAAAACAAAAAAACAAAAAACAAAAATCTAGAGGAAGTTGCTCCGCGACTCAAGAGGAAGTTGCCCCGCGACTCAAAAAAAAAAAGAGAGAGTGGCATATGGCCGAACTAATGGGCGTCGTGCGTGATGGATTCAGAACCACCGAGTAATTTGAGGTCTCCTTCCAAGTAATACACTTGATGAATCACCTTCCATGGAAACATTTATTAGCAATGCTTCCCTGCTTCTTTCTGGATCTCTTCGGACGCATCCGAGCAGCCTGCAGTACTTCCACGTTTCACGGTTTTCCACGATCGATGAATTTCTTACCAGAGGGACTTTCACTTCCAATCACCGTGAAAACACACAAGATTTCCAAGGATTATTTTTCACTCTTTAGTTTTAGCTGATTGCAATTCGTAATATGGTACTCGGCGATTTTTTTTAAATATTAGATTGATATCAAGGCTGTTACAGCTGCGAAAAATTTTTCGAGCAAAATGAAAGAAAAAATTAAAAACTTTCCGACGTCGCCAGAAGTAAAAAAGAGCGTGCGTCACGAACATTGAATCTAATCCGGTAATGGGACAATTTTGAGCTTTCTTCGAGGATCGGATCACGTTCATTCACGAGATCTGTTTCCTGAAAATGACTCGCCGAGGCGCGGAGAGATGAAGAGATTCTAATGCGATCCCGTCACCAAGGCAACCATCCTCCCCTTTTCCTCCGCTAATGAACCCTCAATGAGGGACGGAGGGAAGACTTGCCCCGCCATGCAGAAGACTTGCCTCCTCCGTCCCCGCATTCATCCCGTCGCAGACGGGAATCATTCCGCATCGCTCGCAATTTCGTTTCGGCCCCGTGCAGACATCTGTCGCAAATTCGAGCGAACCTTTTCGCATGAATATTTCGCAGATTTCCCGTCTGCGAATTTTCCTGCTGGCGGTTTTTCCTGGTTGCAAAGTACACCTGCAACTTTTCCACAAGAGTCGGGCATGACACCCAAGATATTTACGATCCACATTGGCACCTGCTTTCCCAGGAATGCGTTTCTTTTTTCTCCTCCGTCTGTGGTAATGGGTTTACTGGCTCCCTCCGCCGAGTCTGTGTGTTTTTCATGGTCATGAACACACATGAGTACATGCGGGCACATTAGTCCCTACGTTCCCAATGACCCATGGGGTATCCAGTCCGAGCTGCGAGGGAGTGGGAGTTTTTCTCACAGGAAGAAAAAAATAACGATAAAAATATATATATACGTATGCGTAAATAAATAATAATAAAATCAAGCGTTTTTTCATAGTTTTTATTACAGATAGTCCGTATGCTACATCATACCCATGTAATCGTGTGAATACCAGTCAATTTCGTCTGAGACCAATCAAAGGACATCGTTGACCGTCGTCATGCGAAGAAAAAAATCCGTCCCAATAAATATTTCTTTCTTCCTTCTCGTCGACCAATCCGCAATTTCGTGTTCTGACGTTGAACGGCAAAAGTGGCACAAAGATCAAAATAAAAAAAAGGTTCCATATCTTTTTTTTTTGTTACCGATTTCTCTCCGAAGAACACTTAATTTTTTTGAAGACTATGAAGACTATATGTACACTACACAGCCTTCCATACAACTGGAATGATTGTTCCAACGAAATCCGATTTCACAACGTTGCGTATCACATTTTTCGCAAGATACAACTAGGACGCGCGTTCGCACGGAGGGGGAAAAAGGGGGGGGGGGGAAGAAATACTTTACCAGTACCGCAGTACTGGTAATAGAGTACCACAAATAATACTGATGCAGTTGCAAGCAAGAGTTGGAGGGAAGAAAAAGTTTCTTTCTCGCAATAACCTACTGCTTGATATTGCACGCGCTGGCTTCATTTGGGAAAAGTGAGGGCATGAGAGGTGAAAAGTGAGAGAGGGCATGAGGGCATGAGAGGGCATGAGGGCATGAGAGGGCATGAGAGGGTTTCCGTTGCATGAATGGAGTCTTTGGAATGTCGTGCAGGTTTTTGATCTTTGGTGAGGGAGAGACCACAACGAGATATCCACTCATGCAAGGAGAGAGAAAATAGTGAGGGAGAGAGAGAGAGAGAGAGAGAGGAAAAAAAAAGGAGAGGAAAAAGCGAGGCGTGTTGTGTTGCATGTCCGTCTGTGTGTGTCGGCCCACGATCTGGTTTTCCTGTTGACTCGCTCATGAGAACCCGGATAGTCATGAGTCTCTTTCCCTTCCCATGCGGCTTTCAAACCTGATGCCCGGATCGCGTGACTTCCCCGATCACGCAGGACCCAAAGCCGAAGCTACTGACATGGGGCTCATGCATAATTTCCAGCCGTTTTCGCCCATAGGCGTTCTCGCGGCCTCAAAAATTCAACAACACTGGCCCACATCGCATGCAGCCGCATTCGGCCGATTGCAACCCGACCCCACCTTGCCTTCCCTCCGCGCTCGAAACGAGAAGAAATCCACCGAAGAGGGGGAGAGAGAGAGAAAAAAAAAGAACAATTTGAACACTGACACTTTGGATAATGCTGTATCCTCGGGCTCCGTCGAGCCGACACAAAAAAAGTGAAGGAGAGAACTTGTTGTCAAGAGAGATATTGTCCCTCGATAATACTGGAAAATATCAGTCCTCGGAGTCCCTACGTGAGTAGGCCGTGGTGAGCGATGGACGAGTCCGTCTGATACCACGCGTACTGAGGCATATAACTGTTGGACACTTGAACGGGAATGGGGTTCGGTTTGATGTCCTGCCACGGGGAGGGACAGCTGACTGGTGGAGATCCTGACAGGTTCGCCGGTTGCGGGGACACCCCGCCCACGGGTGGAGGCGGCGTGTCTGTGCTCACCTGTCGGGCACACGCACAAAACAAACAAAACGTGTTAGGAATTTCTCATTCGTATGTATTAAATACGGTTGTTACATCGTTATTATCATACTTTTTGTATCTTATTTATTGCGCTATACGAGGACTTCTGGTATACTTATTATGTCTTCATTGTATTATTATTCGTATTATATATATTGTATTTAAACTAGAATGTGTTAAACACTTAGAGAACAGGGGTTATTAAATTAGTTGTAATAAACACTCATTAGCATCTCAATCGCTGTTAACTAAGGGATGACACCCTAATTTTCTCTTAATTTCCCTTATTTACTCATCGATCGTAAACAGTTTACGCTCGAGTGTTCCTCGGCCTTTAAACTACTCGCTCAAATAGAAAAATGTGACTTTTGGCGTTTGGAAGAAGCTTTGTACTTTCTACCTTAACACCTTTTTTTTTACGCTGAAACGGTAATAATTTTGTTCCGACTGCTCGAACCGGCTCACGATCCCCGTAATTCGCAGGACGCATGGCGTGACAGAAAGTAGTGCGACGCGCCCAAACGCGGCGAGACGTACACGGCCCTCGCGCACCCTCGCGACGTTGCACCCCAGACACTTTCTTATTTACGAGATTCATTCCGTGTGCGCTCCGGGTCACGCATCCGGAGAACGACCTCACGCTCGGACCACGCGAAGCATGAAGACACGCCGCGAAACACGCCGCCCCGTCCCAGATCATCCTCCATTGTGGATGTGTGCCGTGCATGCGGCGTCTTCATCGACCGCGTCACGCCTCCCCGACCTCCCTTAGAGCTCCAGTCAACCCGAACCCCCAGAGCCCCTGGGGCCTCTCCCCCGGTATCAAAGGATGGATGATCGACCCCGAAAAAACCCCTCAACACCAGATGAAACATGACAACTCCATTCACTTCTCACCGAGATGAATGAGAGTCGATACGTCGAGAGCAATCATCGGAACGAAATCGGACGAGATCGAACATCGGGCCTAATGAAATCTCCCGAATGGTACTTTTCAGTACTTCCATTCCCCCCCCCTTTTTTTTAACGAGACCTGGAAGATTTCTTTAATAAAAACAATTATTTTATACCTAATACCAGAACAATTTAAACTAAAACAAATCCTAACATTTCTCTTAGTGCTTTTCCACTCCGAAAAAGAACGTGAACTTTCCTGTTAACTGCGCACTTACAACGTGCTCACGTGCTTACATCGACACGGAATCGACACGTTTTTGAGGAATCCAAAAAGCGTGACCACTGCTCGGCCGATGGTCGCCTTAATCGCCTGGACTTTTCCCTCCTTCCAAGTTATATCATCCCCGTAAAAGTGAGAGTCCGGCGGGGGAGATGAGCCGACGCCTCTCGGTGAAAGGGGAATTTTTCTTTCTCCTCTGGGTTTAACCGAGTGTATCGGCCGAGGGACAGGCCCAATTTCACGTGCCGTTATCGACCGTCCGAGTGTCCTTTCTTACGACACTCATTTTTTTTTTTTCATTTCACGCTTTCTGGCCCCCTTCGACTCTCACTTTCTATCGACGGCCATACCGGGAAGCATCGCTCAAGCATTACTGATGAATGATCCAGAAAGAAAGAATCCCGAAACTCATTTTCGGAAGAAATTTTTTTAATTAGCCATCATTAATTCGACATTAGAGCCAGCGCCTTGAGTCACAACACGTGACGACCCATTTTTCATTGCATTTTCCACCCTTTCTTCTTAAAAAAAAACGTCTCACCCCTCCAAATCCAAAAGTGTGAATTCGAAATTCTCCTGACGAAAAACGTTGCGCATCCCACAAAATTTATTTTTCGACCTTCGGCCTTCCGGACGACATTAAGCCTCCCAATTCGACATTAAGTTGCCTCTAGTAAGTAATGACGAACTTATTGCTTTCAACTTTCAAGCCGAATTCGACTGCCCATCACGAAAATATTCGGCGAGCCGTAAAGCCGATCAGAGGGTGCTGTCGAATAAAATGCAGAGAAAACGCTAAGTTTAACCCTTATCCGGGGCATATTTCACTTCATTACTCTCTGCAGATTTTTCCAAATATTCTTCAAATTTGATATGGGTTTCATAGACAGTCATCCAATGATTCAGAAACGAACTTTTAAAGTTTGGATTTGCTTTTAAGGAAAAAAATTCTAAAAATGTTTGGCCTTGCCCGTTTGTGCCACAAAAATACCTTGCCCGGATAAGGGTTAACAACGCACCCTCGATTTGAACATACATTTATGTTTCACATTTTAAGTAAACTAGATAACTTAATTTTAGTATTTCTTTAAATACTTGCACACGTACGCTAGAAGTAGGAAATCCTCCGAGCGAGGCATACTGACCGGTGGGATGTAGGTATTGGACGGTGCCGTAGCGCCCCTGGGAGGGCTCTGGGA